CTAGGAGACAGCCTAATAGCTTTGGGGTAACTGAGCTAGTGAATAAAATGTCCAAAAATGATAAGTTACTGAGGAAGAAGTACATTGGAGTTTGGAGGCGATTATCAGCCCATATGAGGGAAATGATGACACCATTTCCTGTTAGAGTAAGCATGTAAGTGAACAAGAGGAGCACGAAGAGGAAAATCTGAAGCTTGTGGCGAGCAGGGAAGGCAGTCAGGATAAACTCAGTCACTGTGGTCTGATTTTGCACATCCATTGAGTGCAGTCCAAGGTGGACAGCGTGTCTGAAAAAATAAGAAAATATGAAGATGAAAAATAGCTTCAGTAAGTTTTTAACTGTCAATGTCGTTGATAAGATGCAGTACAAGAAAGTTTCAATGAAGAGTCAAGAGTGGTTTGTTTGCATCCTGCCTCTGACCCTAATAAAGGTAGAACCTTGGATAAATGACATGACTTCTCTAAGCTCAGTATGCTCATACTTAGAACTCTTCATTGAATGAAGTTATGTCCCTATTCCCAAATTCTAGTCGTTATGACTTTATTCTTTTTCGTACAGTGCTTCTTCCCTTTTCTATTTCACTCTGAGCCTGTTTCCCCAGCTAAGTTTGTATCTAAGAAGAGAGACCTGGCTGAGAATCCAATTTTTAAAATGGAGAAAGGGAATAGTAATACAAGTTGTTACTTTTCTCAAAGTTATTCAAACTTTTCAGGCATTGTCTAAATCAAAGAGCAGAGACAATGAAGACTGGACAGTCAAATGAAAGAGAACCTGAATTTCTTTCTGCTGTCTACTTTTGTTACTGGTATTATGTGTTGAGCTTTAAAGTAATGTCTAGTTGGATAGAAGTTATTTTGATGTAATAGTAATTGAATTCTCCATGAGATTCCATAGCTTTTATTTAAAAAAAATATTTATTTACTTATTTGTTTATTTTTAAGTCACAGGCACATTTATTATCCTCCAGAACACCAAGGTCCTCCCTTCCCAGGCAGTGTCACAGGAGGCCAACTCAGGAGGTGGCCACGCTGCCACCCAAAAGAGCTGCCCGTGGGGCAGCAGGGGCAGGGGCAGGAGGAACAGTGCCTTCAGCTTGTGCAACAGGCTGGCAGTCTTGGAATCTTTTGCTTTGTAAGACTTGACCAAGCGGGTAAGCTTAAGGGCACCTTCCCTGTCACAGCTGAAACCATAGACTTTGATTACCTTATGCTGAATCCGCGCGGACACGAGTTGCAGCATCTTGCCCAAGTCCGTGCAAGCATTGTCCTGAGCCTGGTCTGAGAACACCTGGCTCACCTCGGCCAGGACCGGTGCGCCAGATGCATCCTAGGGAGGGGTCCTGGGTAGGCACTGGAGCACGGCCGGCCGGCATGCCCAGCCGAGAGCGCAGGGCAGAGGGCAGGGAATTAGTGGACTGAATCCGCAGTAACCCGATGAACTCGGCCCCCGATCCCCTCACTCTGGGGGCAAGGAACCCTCTTAGGAGAGGGAGGCTGGTACCGCGCGCCCCCATTTGCCGGCGAACGCAGACACATCTCTCTCGGCGGACCTTCCGCCCGCACCCTCCTCCGGCAGGAAGCCCACCTGGTCACTAGGAGGCTTCTCACCCTTAGCCTGTTTGGCGCCCAGGGCAGCGGCTTGGGCCGAGGCGGACGCCGTAGGACAAGAGATACCCGTGCAGGGCCGCCAGGGAGACGCTCCGGAGAAGCGAGCGACCTCCTAGACAGGCTCTGCAGGCGGGTGGGGGCGGAGGGGACGCGGCATCCGCGACGCCCGAAGCCTCCCGGTGGCGTCCCAGCCTCCGCACTCTAACCTCCCCGGAGCGCCTAAGCAGCCTGGTAGGCGGGGACCATCCCGCCCCAACCAGACTGATTCTGGCTGAGAACGACCGGGGTAGGGGCTCTCCGGTGCGGGCCGGAACACCTGCTACACAAATTCTAAAACTGCTTTAACACTCATAGGTTTTCTTTAAAAAAATTTTTATATTGGTACAATTTAAAAAATATTTACTCTGTTATAGAAGTAAGTCAATGATAATTTGCGAAACCGATTTTTTATATTTTGAAAAATATTTTAGATTTGAAGAATATTTTAATATGTTTTATATTTTTTCATGTATTTTGAAAAATGCTTTTGGGAAAATGATGCATTTGTTTCTTTTTTCTTTTTTGCAATGTTTTATCTATGGCAGCATCCAGAAGAAACTTTCTTTTCTTTTAGGTTCTGTCATACAAGACGTTTATACCTTATATTCTTTTCAGCCGTTTGAAGATCATGTTTTTAATAGTTGAAGAAAGGATGCAGATAGATAGTGTCTGAAGCACACAGCTTAGTCTTTGGGTACCGCTCAATTTTGCTGAAGGTCTATTGCATGTGTACAGAATACAGTCGACCTACTGTTATGTGGTGTATTATTTTGTAACTAATCCTTCAGTTTCAATTTAAAATAAAAAGCTTATGAACCCTGAGCTGGGTTCTTTCTAGGCTTGGAGTCCGACCTGGTTTGTCTTACAGGAGGTCATTTTCTCCAGGCTCTCTCTGGGGTAACTCCTAGCTGCTGTTTTTGCCTTAAAGAAAATTTTCCTGAACAAATATCCATCTGAAAGGTTGGCTGTGACTTTTTGTGGTCCTGTATTTGCCTCTTTATTTCCAGTCAATACTCATTTATCCTACAAATCAAATTATCCTTATTATTTTAATAGTAACTTTTGTCTTTACTTCTCTGTTTTAGGTAAAGAAATATTGGTTTCTTAGAATTATTTGACATTTCTAGGTAGGTAAAGTCCTTTACAGATTTATAATTATTTCTGTCCCTCTAAGAGTAATTTTTGAAAGTGATTGGATTTGAATAACTTGACTTGCTGTTGACTTTAGTAGTAGAGTTCTTTTTAGTTTCTTTTAAATCCTTAGCCCCAGTTTCTACATCTACAAAAAAGTATTGTTCATCTACACGTTCCTTTCCAGTCTATATATGTCTCTTGTTTTCCATGATGGCAGGTACCCTCTCTGTTTGTGCCCCCATTCATAGACAGTACTCACATTTTACTAAATAAATAAATCAGAATTGGTGGGCTCCCCCTTAACCATGGGGGTGCAGCTGCCCAAGATTAAGCAGTGGTAAGCTTAGTAGTCTGCATTTTCTTGTACCGAGTACAGAGTTATCATAATCTGTACCTTCCTGGTGTCTGTCACCTTTTCTCTCGTTGTTAGTGGGAGATCTGTGTAGTTCTAGATAACTGATTACTGCAGTATTAATGCTGGGCACGGAAGAGACCCAAACACCAATATACGTAATAGATCTGATCTTTCAGGATTTAGAGAAAGGGAGGGTTACAAGAAGGCAAAAATCTAGGCTGAAAGAGTGCAGTTTACAATTGCAAGGTGCATTATTCCATTTCTTCTCATAATCTTCCAAGTTGTTACAAGGCAGTTTGTTTCATTTTCTTTAAAATAATCAAAGGTCTCCAAAGGGTCTTGCCTATTCAAATAGGGTCTTTGCACCAGTAAGCACTGTTTCTACCACAAATGTTCTAATATTTGCTCCTCACCCAGTGCTCCTGCACCCAGGTAATGAGCTTCCCAACTGTTTACCACTGCAAGTACAGCATCATCGTGTCTGGGTGATCAAGCAGGAATGTTATTGAGGACTAGTATAATGATGGAATAGAGCACACTTTGTAGAGCACCCTTTTCTTTACCCCTCCCACCTTCATTGTTGACAACACTGGAGATTGATAGGTATCTTAACAGAGCAGTGTGGGTTCCCTGCCTCTCTGCTGTGTTGTTTCTTCCGTATATCCAGTTAATTGTTCCACCACCTCCGTAAAGTCTTCCACTTTCCTTCTTGCCTACATAGTCTTTGATGGCCCTGATGGGAGCTTGAATCCACTCTGGTATTGTAAAACTTGAACAGTTTGATAACTTAAAAGCAGTGTGCCATTTTTTAAGAACAAAAGTCTGGGATGGTTGAACATGAATAGAGTTGGAGTTGGCCGTGGTTGTCTTAGGATAATATAACTACGGGAAAGATGGTGTTGAGAGCTTTCTGTTCTGCTATATTTTGGTCAATATTGTTCTCTGAGAAGAACTAAGGTTGTAGCACTTCTCTCCTTTGTGGAGTCTCTGAAGTTCATGATAGTGAAAAAATGTGGCTTTGTGTCAGCCTTTTCTAGATGATCTGTGGGCCCTCAGGTTCCCCTCATGTCCAGGATGAAAGGTTCTAGACTGTGATGGTCTGTGTATAACAATTTCATTGTAACCTTGCCAATACAAGGCTTTCTTGTTTGATCATTTTCCTCATTACCAATTCTGTGGATCCTTACAATCTGCATAAAATTTACACATTTTAAGAATCTAGATTTAGACAGGAAAATGTGGGTATTGGAAAGAGCATGGGAGGTCTTGGAATTGGAGAACCTATGTTTTATTTCTTGTTTGGCCACTAAGAGCTTTGTGATCTTCAATAAGATCCTTGAGTGACCTGTTTCTTTTTCTCCTCATTTCTAAAATGAGGGTAGTCATAGTGCCTGATTCAAGGTCCTAAGACAGGAGCTACCACAGCAATTTATACGTACTTTGTGTTCAGTAAATGTTTAAGAATATAGGGTTAGGGGGAAGGATGAACAGAAAAGGACTAATATATGGTGTAGATGGGGAGATCTGTGCTGCTGTCAATAAAATGTCAAAGAGTTCAGTTGCAACTGAGGTTCATTAAAAACATGAATTTATATAGTTATGATAAAGCTATCACATTTAAGATCTCCCATGAGTAGTTTTTTGGCAAAGTAGTAATTGGACTTTGATTGACCAAATATACATGTAAACAAATGTAGTAAGCCTCAGACTGTTTAAAATATAGATATGGATAACTATATAATAAAATATACTTACATCATGCATCATACTGACTGTAGAAAAGTTGGTATTTTCGTCATTCGAATATGTTAAGAACCTTGAATGTTGGCTATTTTCTTCCTACTGGCTTCCATCCATTATTCTTTAAATTCTTCTATTGCTTCAATTTTGAATTCCATTTAAATCTCTCTCAGTCTGAGACTCTTCCCCGTAAGACACATATTCCCTTTCTCGAAACCACATCAACTGGTTTTTCAGTTTTTGCTGAAATATTTCATCTACTTCATTTAAATGAAAACTTGTCCTTTTATAACCTCTTCCTTTCTGTCCTTTTCCCAGTTCTTTTTCTTACTCCCACAGAATAAGTCTAAATCTTAATGCTAAGTCCAAGTGTTATGTTTTCAATTAATCTTTGATTTTATACATATTCAGGGTCACATTTTTGCCAAAAGAGCAGAATCGTGAGTGTGGTGATGACTCAGGAAATCAGACACGATGAATTAAGAGCAGGTCCTCTTACTTCTAGTTTAGAATCTCTGGCGCCAAGACTGAAAGACTTTCTGACTGAAATCTTTCCAAGTCGCAGATCTTTTTTTTTTTTTTTTCTCACTTATAGGGATGTAACTTCCAGTCTATTCAGTTAATTTCTCTATCTTCTGTGAGTCCATCCGGAAACTTGGATATATTCAAAACCATAGACCGTCATACTGGAAGAGAAGTAAAGGGCATATTAGACAGTCTGGTGCTAAAATATTCTGCACTGACTGTTGTCGGGTGATGCAAAAATCTATTTCTTGACGCGCCTCATTCCACTTTAATGGTCCTGATTGTTAGAAAAATTCGTATTTGCATTCACTGAACTGTCTCTCTAAACTTTCTTCATTTTGTTTAGTCACTCCTGTTCATTCATCAGTTCATATTGTGACTTGATTTTAGATCTATCCACCTATTTACTTTCTCCAGGATATAATATTACCTTATGATTATTAAAGTGATTACAACTGGATGAACTGTGATATTTAATGATTTTTTTTAATTCACCTTTAGAGGTTTGGTTTAGAGTGGCTCTTGGGATTCTGGCATTAAAAAACGTTTCATTATTATTATTGCCGTCACAGGATGTTGGAACTGAAAAAACTAATCACAGAAAGTTAAGGTCTCCTGGGAGACTCTCTTGGGTGCTTATTTTATTTATTTAAAGAAAAACTTAGAGATCAGATGAAGCCTCAATGAACTAGAAACTTGGAAAACAAATTTTAAAGTGTTCCTAATGTTTTGAATAAGCTTTAAGATGCTTTTGCAAATGAGATTATTTACATAGATATGTATCTGTGTACATATTAAAAACATTTTATTGAGGTATGATTTTATGATTTGCACACAGTAGACATTTTAAAGTGTATGATTTTTTGAGTTTTGACAGATGCATACAGTCATGTAGCCATCATTACAATTACAAGAAAGGTTTAAAATGTTTACATTACCTTAAACAATTGTGTGTTCTTTTGCAAGTACATACACCCCCTCCCTATCTCAGCCCCTGACAGCCACTGATATGTTTCCTGTCATAGTAATTTGAATTTTCTGTACTATTATAGAATGCAGTCTTACAGCATACAGTCTTTTGGTTTTTTTCACTTAATCTGATGCTTTGAGATTAATCCAGTGTTTTAGGCATCAGTAGTTTCTTGTTTTGTGTTACTGAGGATCACCTGTTAGATAGATTGCATAGATATACAACAGTTTGTTTATTCACCAAATAATGGGCACCTGAGAGGTAATTAAAGGCTTCTAGTTTACAGCCTAGACAGAAATACCAACTCAAAAGAAATAAACAGAAAGTTGTAAAATACTGTGCATATACTAGTTACACAGGAAAAAGCAAGATATTAGGTAAGACTGTAAAAGTATCATCTCCTAATCTAGGAATTCTAAGTCTTAGCCTTTGCTCGCTCACCTGAGACCAAACACTGGGACAGTATTAGCTTAGCCTTTCACTGGATCTTCTTCATTGAATTGAAATTTGATATAACATTGGCCTTTAATAAGCCAATTATTAAAATTAAAATTCTTAAATAGTAATAATTTATATTATTATTTAATAAATCTAAAAACATTTATTATAAAGTTGTTGCAATGATTTCTACAACACTGTTCAATATTTCCCATGCAAATTTCTATTAGAGAAATCTCTTTTGAGTGAGAGAAATAAGAGGAAAGACTTTGTCATAGCAAAAAATTTAGTGTGTTTTTATTTCTGATATGACTCTAGGATATCATGACTTTGTCTTCTTTTTGCTTAGATTCAGGAAAGTTAAAAATTGATGTTCGATCCCAGGAATGATGTTAAACTTTAAGTTTAAAATATTTGTTATTTATGTAATATGTGAATATCAAACAAATATATATATTCAGAATTATACATAAATAATTTTACCTCACTTTAAGACTCAGGGCATAAACATAAACATACACACATGATTATGAATACATAAAATAAATCTTAAAAAAATTCATTATGAAGATAGTTTTCTTCTTAAGAGTTTCATCAGTGCATTTTTCACTTCCTTGTTCCTCAGACTGTAAATCAGGGGATTCAACATGGGAATCACGTTGGTGTAAAACACTGAGGACACTTTCTCCTGGGCGAGTGAACTGCTGGAAGCAGGTTTGAGATACATGGACATGAGAGACCCATAAAATATGAGGACAGCTGTCAAGTGGGAGCTGCAGGTGCTGAAGGCTTTGGACCGGCCCTCTTTAGAGTGGATGCGGAGAATGCTGGCAAGGATAAAAGCGTATGAAATGATGATTATCAAGCTGGTGGCCACCATGTTAAATCCTCCAATGACAAAAATCAAAAGCTCATCGATGTAAGTGCTGGAACAGGAGAGTTTAGTAAGAGGAATGATGTCACAGAAATAATGCTGAATGATGTTTGATTCACAGAAAGTCAACCTTAATATACAGCCTCCATGAATCAGAGCAACAGTAAAACCTACCAAGAAGACAGCAGCCACCAGCAGGGAACACACCTTGGGGGACATGATAACATTGTAGAGCAGGGGGCTGCAGATGGCGACATAGCGATCATAGGCCATTGCTGCCAGCATGTAGCACTCAGAAATGACACAAATACAGAAAAAGAACAGCTGAGTCATGCATCCAGAGTAGGAGATAACTTGATCTCTGCATAAAAACCCTGCCAGCATTTTGGGGCTAATGACAGAGGAGTAGCAGAAATCTAAAAAAGACAAACTACTGAGGAGATAGTACATGGGCGTGTGGAGTTGAGAACTCAGCCCAATTATTGAGATCATACCCAGGTTTCCCACCACGGTGACTACATAAATCCCCCAGAAGAGGCAGAAGAGAGGCAGCTGAAGCTCTGGTTGGTCAGTTAATCCTGAAAGAAGAAACTCCGTCACTGTGGATTGATTTCTTAAACCCATTTTCCTCTGAGAAATCTGTGGAGATGAAAAGACAGAGTCAAATTAGACAGGCAGGATCCCAGTTTATCCCCAGTTCCCCTACCCATGAAAACAGGAAGCCCAGGTTATTTTACCCGTTGGCACTGGATGTGTGTTTCCATTGATATGCAGACTTTGACTCACCAAAAATTCAGGTCTCAGATGAAACAGAGAAAGTAATCATCTGTCTACCTATAGATTTTAGGAACCATAAATTAATGTTCACACCCTCTCTAGTGTCTCAAATTCTTTTAGCAAAGTATAAAACATGTGACTCCAGAATTAAAAATAAGTCTAATGCTAAAGAACATTGGAGAGTTTTTCTAAAGCAAATTTGTTGAAGAGGAGCAGAAGGAAGAGGCTGTGGGCTGAGGAAGTACTTTTGCTAATGACACAGTTGCCTGGGGCTGACCCTGCCCACGGGATTTCCTACAGAGAAGGTATCT